CACCGGGGCCGGGCCCGTGCCGGCCGGGGCGTCTGGGACTTGTAGTTCCCCGGTGGCTGCCGCCTGGGGCCGGGGCCGCGGTGAGACGGGCGCGAGGATCTCGCTGCTTGCTCTGGGCAGGCGGGCGGCGAGTGGTGGGGACCCATAGACAACTCCTCACAGGCGGGGTGTGTTGTTGGTAGATTTGGCCCCAGTCCCTCCCCACACCTCCCAGACTCTGATGGTTGTTGGCTCCCCTCCACACTCAGGCTGGGGAAGTCTGTGGGCTTTGCACTGCCGGCTGGAGCCGGGTGCTTTCCCCTGCTGGCCAGCTGGGCCCCGGGGCCACAGGCTTTTCCCCTCATAGTGGTCTACCCAGGGCCATTTTTTTTTATTAATGTATTTTGTGTTCCAGGTCAAATCGGTTCCAAATCACATCAATTGAGCAGAACTCAGTTGTTCCAAAAAACATATGGATCGAGCAGGTAGAGCCATTGGCATCTGGGCATGGCGCTGCACCCCCTGTGAAAAGGTGTGGGCAGTTGCTGCTCACTGCCCCCTCTTGCTGCCAACACCACCAGCAGCATCTGCGGGCAGTCCACAATCGCCGCTGGCCACTGCCAAAGCTGCCAGTGGCATCTGCGGGTGATCACCAACTGCTGGTCAGTGCTCACCACCTGCAGCCGCCAATGGCACCACAGCTGCTGCCACTTGCAGGAGCTTGCCAAGCCCCCCTCAGCCTCCAGGGGCACGCAGCATTCATGGGCAGAACCCAATTACTCTAAACACCATGTCTGACACTACAGCCTGTGGGCATCCTCTGTCCCAGGCTCTTACCCTGGGACTTCAGATACTCCCAAATCCATTGGCAGGCATCCTATGCACAGGCCCAAGCCCAGACGTCTTGGGGTTCAGATGCCCCAACTTGATCTTAGCCCACAAGAGGACCAGACACTTGATCTTCTTGGGCACAAGCTGGGCATTAGGGTGTGTGATGCCTTGGACAATCTCATCTAACTCAGGAACTTGCAAGCCTGATCCTCCTGCCTGGCAGTAAGGGCTGAGCAAGTGGGAATCGAAGCCAGTTCAGATGCCCCACTCTGGCACTAGGTCCAGAGGTGAAGGAGAAGCATGGCTGGTCCAGCTCTCCCTCTTGTTTCCAAGCCTGAAAGAGAAGATATGTTATCCGTCCATTTCCATCACCACATCCATACACTGAGGTCCTGGAAATACGTGGGTCTTCTGTCCTATCTCAGCTGTATTGAACGCCATGTTCTCCAAGGCAATTGCTCCTAGGTTAAAGTGACTACTGAAGATGGAGGCTGCTATTCTTAATAATTGGCCCCTTCCCTCATTATTAGAGGTTCATTCAGTGGAAGCAGATAACTAAAATAATAGCAGTCTCCTCAGAGGCATAACAGGGCGGCCGGGTACTCAGGGTGGTGGCAACTTGTGGCTGCTGGTGCTGTCAGTGCAGTTGCCCGGCTGCGGCAACAGATATTATTTTTCTATCTCCCCTCCTCCCAAGTTGGTGCTTGAGGTTGTTGCCCCAGTCATCTTGCCTTAGTTACACTACTGCACTCCCCAAATCCAGAACACAGTTGTTTCTCTCTTCTCTGCACAAAGATATTTGCAATACGTTGGTGGGGAAGAGAACACAAGTGAAGAAGTAAGGACAACTCCGATATTGAGAGGTGAGCCTGACCTGGCCTGAACCAGAACTCGGTGTGTGATGTTGGAAAAAAGGCCTGCTTCTGAGAGTAGGAAAACTACCATCTGGATTCAAGAAAACAGGCCATTGCACATTCATGTAAAAGAAACAAAATTACACCAAAGTTACCTGATTCCATTACCAGTTTCTCTTCCTAACTGGTATAATCCACAAGACCCTAAATTTTAGCCAGCCACCTGGATCAAAATAGGTAACAGTAGTAACCAGAATGGGGTTCACAAAGGTTTTAGCATCAGCGTCTTTAAAAAGCCTGCTGCATCTTAACGGCTTTGCCATTTGGCATCCTTGGCATGGTTTTGTACAGACCTTTTCCAGAGGATTCCAAAGTAAATAACTGGGTAGGCCTTAGTTGTATCTAACAGAACTACGAGACTATCCACACTGCCAGTGGAACTGTATTAGGAGGCCTCATTGCAACACATCACAGACCTTAACAAGGCTTCTGAATCTTAACAATTGTTTGGATGTGACCAAGGCTTCACCGCAATTCAGAGGCATTGTTCAAGCATGTTAAGTCCCATTTATGCTACAAAATTAAAGTATATTTCAATACCTGTATACTACAGATGAGTTCTGCATTTGTTGCATATTTGCAGGGTCTTTGTGTGTGAAATATGTTTTCTCCATTCCCTTCTGCTGTTCATAGATGATGATCTGTGACAATAAGTATAGCACAGCAATTAAATACTCTTACTTGTTCTATTTCAGACTCTTACAATAACACGTTTCCAGTCCATTGTTTGTGTATTTTGGTAGTTTATAGGGTTCGTGAATCAAATTTACTGAAGATTATGAAAGCAGACTTTCTTTTCTAAGCCTAATGTCTTCAAAATAGAAACTGGAAAATGTTGATAAAAGGATGTTAAACTGTGCCTATACCACATTGGGGTGAAAAGAAACCTTAAACTATCACACAATTATTAATAAGAAACTAAGGAATTTTTATATCAGAGAAAACCAATTATCTCATTTAGTCACATATTATATTTCTAACAGTGACCAGAATCTGGCATTTTGGAGGAGACGGATTTAAAACCTCAGGATCAATAGACAGGTCAGTTATGTGTCATGTGCATAAAAAAGTGTTCAAGTAGTTGCCTTTTACTCTAATTGGGTATCCTCTTGGGAGGTTTTTTTGTTTTGTTTTGTTTTGCTTTATCAGAGTAGAGAGGGTAAAGGAGGCAGCCTAATTTATCTTTTTTATACTATTAATTACTTTTGATACCTCTGCTGTGTTCCTGAGTTCCTGACTCCAGTGTTGCAGGATCAGGGACTAAGGCTCAGATACTCACTCAAAGGGATTTAGGCACCAAACTGCCTTTGTGAATCTGGCCCTAAGTGTCTAGGTACCAAGTGTTATGTGATGGCCACTTTGTAGTTACATTTCCTGTGTTTTGGGTGCTGGTGTACCTGGAAAAAAATTGTTGCTGTATGTACTGACAGTAATTGACGTTGCTGTTGTCAGATTTCACACCTAAAAAGTCCTCCTCTTTTCATCCTCATTCTCTGATTCGATGAGGTGTGATGCTTAGTATTTTGTTTATATAAAGGCAAACTTTTCAAGTACTCTTCTTGAATTATTTTCTGTTCATACCATCCATCTTATAGACAATACTATTTGTGCCTTTTCTCTTACATATCTCTCTCCTGAAATGGTAAGAGTATCCATACAAGAGTACAAAATTACTACAAAAATGTTATTGCCTTTGTCTACTTGCTCTTGTTCTGCTGCTTTCTCCTCATTCCCCTCATCGCAGCTCATATATTGTCCCTATTCCACCATCTTACATTTGTTTTCAGAATCCAAACATTCTTGAATGAGCAGGGTCTTTAGACATCTATCGTGTTCCTGTCTGGTAATTGCTCTTTCACTTGTCCTGATTAGATAGTTCCTGTTAGAAATTAGCTGATCTGCATAGCAGATGTCAAATTGAATATACAGTTGAAAAAAAAAATACAGATACAACCTGTTATCACATACTGTATTTAAAAACCCGTTTAAAACTTTTAATGTCAATTTTCTTAATTCCACCTTAGACTGAAAATAATTTAAAAGAAAAACACATTTATTTTTCCATTTGTGCATACTTTATAAATATAATCAAAATTCCTGCAATTGAGAATTATAATTCAAGCATTTGATCCAGCAGATCCTTATAATGTCTGCAGTGTTTGCCCTGCTGGAATCTCGCTTATTGCACTGAAAATACTCTTCATATGAAGCACTGTGTCCAAGCATTGCAGAACTGGTCCCTTAATTAGGCCTGTCGGAGAGGTTGATGACAATGGAAAGGGGAGCACAAAAGGTAGACATGATGGCTACACAAAGTAAAGTTAGTTTATTTATTTCTGTTATATATAGTATGAAAGCAATTTTAAAGTCTCACATTTGTGACTAAAAATAATAGAATCAAGAACACTGCTATTTGTGCTACTTGTTTTTCATTGCTCAATTATTTATTGTTTTCTGACTTTCAAGTTGCCTCATTTGGGTGAGCCTGGTATGTGCTATAAACCAGGGATTGGCAACCTACATCCCGCATAGCCATTTGTTCTGGCCTACAGGTCTAGGGCACCAGCACCATTTGGTGGCAGGGGCCTTCAGGGGTGGGTGCTTTCCATGTGCTGCCACTTGGAGAAGCAGTGGCAAAGCAACTGGGTCCTAGCATGCACCTGTCTGCTGCCTATTAATTTCGGACCTGAGCAGAGTCATTCTGGCCCATAACCTGAAAAGGTTCCTGACTTCTGCTTTAAAATTACGGTGCTCTCTCCTGCCCCTGCCCCTAAAATTCAGACACAGTACTAGTCCTTCAATAATAGGTGTATATTGTCTCCGTATTCAGTGTAAACTGTGTTCTGCTGTCATGGTCAAGACTGAAGACATCTTTTGTGCTTGTATCTGCCAAATGGAAAAGTGAGGTTTGCATTAGTAACAGTTAGAAATGCTTTTTACTTCAAGTGTGAGAGCTTTGCTTCTGCCTTGCTCCCATCTGCTGCAGACCTAAGGAGCAAGGG